CCGCAGGCGCCGGCCCCTTCTTCACCGACCCCTTTTTCCTGATCGAGACCCTGTGCATTATCTGGTTCTCCTTTGAGCTCCTCGTCCGCTTCTTCGCCTGCCCCAGCAAGCCCGAGTTCTCCCGCAACATCATGAACATCATTGACATCGTGGCCATCATCCCCTACTTCATCACCCTGGGCACTGAGCTGGCCCAGCAGCAGCAGCAGAAGCAGCAGCCCGGCAGCAGCAGCAACAATGGGGGCCAGCAGCAGGCCATGTCCCTGGCCATCCTCAGAGTCATCCGCCTGGTCAGAGTCTTCAGGATCTTCAAGCTCTCCAGGCACTCTAAGGGGCTGCAGATCCTGGGGAAGACTCTCCAGGCCAGCATGAGGGAGCTGGGCCTCCTCATCTTCTTTCTCTTCATCGGAGTGATCCTGTTCTCCAGTGCTGTCTATTTTGCAGAGACTGATGACCCCGACTCCCTGTTCACTAGCATCCCTGATGCTTTTTGGTGGGCGGTGGTGTCCATGACCACTGTGGGCTATGGGGACATGTATCCCATGACAATTGGTGGCAAGATCGTGGGCTCCTTGTGTGCCATTGCAGGTGTGCTCACCATTGCCCTTCCTGTCCCTGTCATCGTGTCCAACTTCAACTACTTCTACCACCGAGAGACTGATCACGAAGAGCAGTGCCAGTACACCCACGTTACCTGTGGCCAGCAGCAGTCACCCTTCTCTGAGCCCAAGAAGGGGGACAGTAACCAGTCTCTCAGCAAATCTGAATTCCTGGAAGCAGAAGACCTGGAGTCCATGAAATATTCCAACTTCATTCCTCCCAACAACCAGGGTTACAAAGAGAAGAAAATGCTGACAGAGGTGTGATCAGTTTTGTTATCCTGGGTCCAAACACGGAGCTGTGAGCTGCTGCACAGCCGTCTTCCTACTAGCAGCTGGATCTATTCAGCATTTAAATGGCAGACTGTGAATTGTGATACCGTAAACAGAATGATTGTGATAATGGGCTCTTCTGTCCTGATTTGCTGTTTCTCATTACTGTGTGCAGCCAGAGATGTTCTTGCTTTATTCTGTGGAGTGCTAGCTGTCATCCCCTACTCCCTCGTGAATTTCTTTCTCTGTTTCTGAAGACTGCTTTAATCTGATATTTGCTCTGAAACCTAGCCTTTCTACTCCACTAGCAGAGAAGCCCTTGCCACTACTTCAGGCTGAAGGATTCGGCAGGGAGTAAACAGTTAAAGGGACTATAAACATCTGGCTCAAGCTGTGCCGTTAGTTCCTGTGCCAGTGCAGTGCCCTTGGCTGTGGGATCAGTCCCGCCTGCCATGCCGTTGCCTTTGAATAATGGAAACGCTGTAGCCAGCATCACAGTGAGTTCTGCAGCTGTAGGGGAAAGTCAGCAAGCAGATGCCTTCCTTCTTTGCAACCCTTGGCATGCTAAAAGATCTTCTTGTTTTGTTTCAAAAAGGTGCATAGATCTAAAAGCTCTTTGCTACTTGTGACTCTGAACAGACTTGTAGAAATCAACAGGCTTGGTGAAGGTTCTCTGTGTTTTGAGTGCATTTCAGCCTTATTGATACCAGTGCCCTGATGTTAATTGGCTTTTATAGTACCAACTTAATCTTCATAGTAGTAAGTGCCTTCTGATGCAAGGCACATTTGAGTAAATCCATTTGTTATCTCCTCAGTTTATCTCCACACAATAGAGTTTAATGAGATGTACTTTTTTGCTTCAGATATCCAGTTCTGTATTAAGGCGCATGAGGGCAATTGACTCTGCTGTGTTTTTATTGAAGCGTTTGTGTAGCTGAGGGAAGTTTGCATGTTCGTATTTTGTTGACATTGCTGAAAAACCCTGGCTGCAGACAGCCGCACCTGTGCTGCCTGAAGATTGCGCTGATTTAGCGGGTCACAGGCATAAATGGCCCTAGGGTAAGTGTGTCAACATTTGAGATTTACATTGGCACAGATACAGACTTCCCTAAGCCACCTGCACAAACCCAACAGCAACCCCAAACAGCATACCACATACCTTTCAAGTGAGGGGAGAAACAGCTAGCCTTGAAGATATGCTTTTGCTATATTACTGATCCATCCAGTTCTTAGTATTCATGGATAGAAGGCACAGCGATGTCTTTTGCATATACTAGGTTTTATGAGAGCAACTTATGCTAGCAATGCTAAATGCATAGCTTTGCCTGCAGTGCTGGGTTTGCCAAGGGACCAGAGATTTGCATCTTAAGATTTTGCTTCCCAGATACTTTCTTTTTTTTTAATCAGCTCTGCCTTACACCTAACTTTAAAATGTTTCAAATGCTGCCAGTGGGTGAGAAGGGGAAATGAATGCTTTCAGACTCTATTGGCAAATTTTCCTGCAAGGAAAAGTCTTTCTTGTTTTAAATCTAAGTGTATATTCTGCATTCACATGTGTGCATGTGTATGAAAGCAGAGGCAGCCATTAATGCCTTGCATCATACTGTATGATATGCATATTAGAATGTACTTTATATTGCATGTGACACATGTAATACATAAATCAGGCATAATACCAAGATGCAAAATATATAGAATACATTTTATGTATATATTATGCTTTTCAATTATAAGGCTAAGAATGCTAAAGACATATACTTTCATGTAGTCAGAATTGGCTATAGAACTGGTTTTGAGATGGGATCTGTTTGCATCTTCGTTGCCCTGCTTGTTTCTCGTTGTCTTGAGATCTGGCTCCATGCCTAGACTGCTTTTATAGTGGTCTCTCCTCATCTGGGCCCTGATCATCTGGTAGCAGTTGTTTGTGTAAATCCTAACTGCTGCATTTCTCCAGAGTCCTGTTGTCTTCTCGAAGGCTTTAGTGTACAGGGACCTCCCTCAGGGTCAGCGCACAACCATTATATTAAAACCTCTGTTCTCTCTCTTGCTGAAATCAGTAGCAAAGTGCCACTTGTCTCAGTTACTGCAGGTCGGTCTGGGAGATGCAGGTGTGTTGTGGTGAGGGCTCTATAGCTGAGAGGATTTTGCATGAATGCATAGGTGCCTACTTCCTCTGGTTCATCGGGACTGAGGCAAATGTCTGTGAAGTTTTGGGCCTTGGGAGCCATGCTGCATCCCTTGAAGCATGTCACCAGCTGGTGGGTAAGTATCCTGGTGAATAAAAGGGACTGAGGAAGGATCAGCACAGTGGCATCTCTCTTGATTTTGTGTAAAAAGTTTTCTTGGTCATTGAGTTAATTCAGTCAAAAGTTGTTGTTCTTAGTTGTGTTTCAGGGTCTCTATAATGAAATCTTTACTGTGAGTGTAAAAGAGTGACTTTTCTTCAAATTTTATGTTGCTTTAGCAGATACACTAGAAACTAGCAAAAGAACCTGCTATTTAAGAGGGCTGTTTCAAGACTGCTGCTGTCTCCTAGCAGAATGCCCATGTTAGGAATTATTTTATGCCTGAGTCTATCAGCTGAAAAAAGTTTCCCCAAAGTAAGATATAAAAAACTCAGGTTAAGCATAAGTTCAGGAGGAGGCATGAGACACACTGAGTCTACGTCAGAAAATTCCCGTGCTTGTTTCTTCCCTTGGGCCTGACCCCATCGCCTCTGCCAGGCAGGAGCCCTCCCAGCTCAGAACAGGTTGTGCTCCTGACCAGCATGACAGACGGCTGGGCATGGAGACTCTGGCAAAAACAGAGATGTCAGACAAATTACTGGTAGCATAATCGCAGCATGTCTTATAATTATGCTCTTGGAAAGAGATTTCCTGCTCATGGGTGAAATTCACAGAGAATTTCTAGCTGGAGTGTTGTGGCTTTTGAAATTACAGACATGGACGCAGGTGCACACGCAAAGCACTGGTGCGAAGGAACTTCATTGCAAACAGGCGGCTTTGTGCAGTTTTTGTGATCCACGTTTTTCAGTTCTGAAAAGAAAGTGCAAAATGAAAATGTGTAGAAAAGGAGAGGGGTTTGCTCCCTGGGTTTTTCTGTGTTAGAGCTAAGAGAAATATAAAAAGCCAACCGAAACTTGGAGACTGTACCCTAGGGACTTTTGTTTGGGCATGTAAATCCTTCTCTGTGTGTCTCCTGAAAAACAAGGCGGTGAAGTCTCAGAGTCATCAATAATACCATATATTATAGAACTTCTGGAATTTGATGTTTTTATTAAAGAGCCTTCGATTTTTTTTTTCAAGTGACCAAAGTGACATAGTGGCACCCATGCCATTGACTTCACAGAGGACTTGTGTCACCAAATCACAGAGATGCTTTCAAGAACTGTACCTTAAGTGCTCAGCCCTTAGCACTCACTGCTAGATGTTCGAAATACAGATTTGTCTGTCTGTCTAGCTATTTCCTGCTGAGTCGTCGTGAAGCAAAGTAGACACCTCCAGGGACTTGTTTCCATAACAACCTCCCAGACTGTTTCTCTCTACCCTGTGACTGTGGCTATAAGCAAAAGCACTCATTGAATATTTTCAGTTTTCATATATTAGCACCTTACATTTACAGCTGTTTGCTTACTGAAGATGATCCCATCACCTTATATCATGTAAAACTGTCCTGTCCAGCTTCAAACAGACAGTTATCAGCACTTGAAAGCAGAGTGCAAACCAGAGGATGGGAAGGGATTTTATTTGTATGTCCTTGCACACAGAGAGGTGGAGAGTGTGTGAAGGACAATCTGAGCACTCACAGTCAAGGAGCTGAAGGGCAACTGGACAGTGAATGTAGAGTTGTCTGTGTGCCTGGTGACAAGGAATACAAGCTAAAGCATCAAATATAAAACCAAAAACTCCTCTTTCAACAACCTCATTAAGAAACAGTTTTGCTGTGGAAGAGACTATTACTCCTTACTGAACCCTTGGCTGTTTTGTGTCAATCAGTTTTCCAGATAATTTTCCCACAGGATGTTTTGCACCAAAGCAGGACAGGGCAGAAATCATCATGTTGGAGGTGGAGAAGGAAGGAAAGAAGGAATTTTATTGGTGACATCTTTTTTTATCTGCAACTCATCAACCACATAAAAGCGTGAAAGCCAAGAAGAGCTGTTTTGTGTTATTTCAAAGTCTACATTACTGGTGGATTCCTGCACTTACCTCCAAGATGAATTACCTGTCCTGTTTCTGTTTGGAAAGCATTGCAATTTGGGATTTTGGAGCAATTTTCTGTTTTGGCCCTGTTGCTTTTGATCCAGCTTTCACGGATAAAAATTCACTGCTAGAGCAGCTGTGGGAGGTGAAGGTGACTGGACTTGGTCCTAGGCCCTCTTATTCAGTGTATGGAGATACCTATGGAGATAAAGGAGTATGAGTATAAAGGAAATTCAGGGCAGCAAGAGGCAAGGTAAGGACTGAAGCGTCTTCTGTACTGTGATGGAAAGGACAGGATCATCCCTAAGAGAAAAGGAACAAACGGCTCCGGCATCTGCCTCTATAGCAGAAATAGGTAAGGTTTCTTTTTCATCTGTGAAATTACCAACTAAGAGTTTCTCACAATTAATGAGGAAGGATTTCCTAATTAAGATTTGCAGCCTAAAGGGAGAATCTGGTTCTAGGTGAAGAAAGAAAGATAATTATAAACTACAAAAGTATCGAATAAACCAGATCCTCACCATCTGCTGATTCAAGCTGGCAAAACTCCATTTAGTACAACTACTTTGGTTTATACTGGGCTCCAACTTCAATCTTTTTCATCAAGTAAAAACATATTTACTAGTTGCTAAATGCTTGTTTTTGTTTATTCTTCTCTTGAGGTCCTGTTTACATCAGGGAAAGGTCTGCAGATTACAGCAGGAGTGAACCACAGCTTTTCCAAAAGCTCTCATCTGACTTGAGTCCAAGTAAGTCTACCAAACTCCGTGAAGTTAAGCCTGTCTTTAAGTTTATATTGACAAAAATAAGAGCAGCAGCATTTTTTTTCTTAGTTGTGGAAATGTGCAGATGAATTTGTAGAGAAGTTTAAGACTGAACAAGATTTTGCCCTCAGATGCAGCCCCGTAAGCACAAGATAGCTCTATTTACATTACTGTAACTGAAAGCACAGTTTGAGCTCTCCATCTTTGCTTTTTGGAGCTCACACTCTAGACAAATCCTATTCTGAAGACATTTGTAGCCATATTATCAGCAGGCTCACAGTCGAATCCCTGACTTGCAGTCATCTGCTTTACATGTAAAGCTAAGGAGGGGAGCAGGTGCTTGCAGGATGAAAAGACTTAATCCTCTGATAAAATGAACAATTGCCAGTGAATGCTGAGCGTCCTTAGCTGCCACCAAAGACAGCTGGTGTTTAAATTGTCTGTAATTACAAGAAGGAGCTATTGTGCAGGTTCAGGTCCTGAATAAGGTGAGACCCTAGTCAGAGGATAAACCCAGAAGAATGTTTTTGATTGAAAGCAGGCAGGGACTGCAGTAACACCAATTTCCAGTGTAGCGGATGTTGTTAGTAGATGTTAATTCTGTGTGTCTTGCCTGGCTGGCTAGATT